ACACACACACACACACACACACACACACACACACACACCGCAACCACCATAACCAGGAACGCTACTACCACCCCACATGAAGAACGCTTTCCACCAGCTCTCGGCTTCCCTTCCCAACAGGTAAGCCCTTGTAGGTAGGGGACGTTGTTTTCAAACTGTAAGAAATCCAAAGAACTGAACCGGTTTCCTAACTCACGACTGTAACGAGGACGGCAGTGAGAAATCGTCGCATTAAAAGCAGCGGGAATGCTGAGCGCTACCATCTGGCTGCAGTTGCAGCAGAGAGGACGGAGAGAAACCGACCCGCTGGAAGCTGGAAAGTGTGCGTTTCAGTTCCTCAGTGTGTTTAAAGGAAAGCCGCTGGCGGAGCGGGCTCTGCCTTCTGAGCAGGACTCTCCCGAGCTGCCGTAACGGTGGCGCCACGCCGCCTTTGGCCGCTAGAGGCAGCGCGAGTCTGCGGCCTGTCAGAAACTGGCTCTTTCCCCCCTCCCCTTTCCGTGGCGAGACTATCAACTCCATCTGTCACGAATTTTAAGGCTAAGTTGCGGCTGAAGCAAAGCGACCCCAGCTGCAGCGCGATCAGAAAGTGGATTGTCCACCTCTCCGAAGAGTCAAGGGAATTTGAAAGGGCAAAAGTGGGGGCCAGAGCCAAGACCCAGGCTGAGGAAGCTGCGCCCCTGCAAAGGCCTCAAACCCTGAGAGAAGCCAGGCTGAGCTGTGCCCAAACACCGTGCTCTGAGTTTAATAGCAGAAAACAAACGCAACTCTATCCTTAAAAACTGGCCAGGCGGCCGGGTGTTGTGGTGCAAGCCTATGACCCCAGCACTTGGGGAGGCAGAGGCAGGCGAATTTCTGTGAGTTCGAGGCCAGCCTGGCCTACAAATTGAGTCCAAGGTAGCCTTGGACACAGAGAAATCCTGTCTCGAAAAACAAAACAAAACAAACAAACAAAAACAAACACACAAACAAAAAACAGGCAAACCCCACCCTCAAACAAAACAAACAACAACGAAAACTGGCCAGGTCTGGTGCAGCAAGCCTGTTTATCTCAGGCAGAAGCAGGAGGATCATTGCCAGTTCAAGGCTGGCTGGTTCCATGTAGTGAGTTCCAGGCCCTTGCTTTACGGTGAGATTAGACCCTTGCTCAGGTCCCCTTTTCCTTTACAGTCTATGATTCGGCACTCCTAAGGAGGCTGGCCCTGGGGTGCATCTTTAAGTTTGTGTCTGTGCTGGCTTCTTTAGAGAGATCTCAAAACAGCCTGCAGGAGAATGAATCATCTGGAGACCTTGTGTTCAGATCTGGATTCCTGGCGCCTGGAGTCTCTGACAGCTAAAACCCTGGAGGGCCTGAAAGTCTGCATTTCCAACAAGGTTTAGGGGCTTGTGGGGGCGAGGCACTGCCGCTTGGCTGATTGCTGGGGACAGGGTCTGACTGTCCCTGTTCTAGAAGCTATAAATGGGTCATCTTTATTGGCCACATGAGTCCATCTCAGCCTTGATCTGGGTCTCAGTGGGAGTTAAGAGAGGCCTTGACATGGAAGGGGAAGGCAGCTAGCCCCGGCAGGCGCTGCTTTTTCTATCTTGTACATAGACCTTCCTGGGTCCCCGGTCCCCACTCATTAAGGACACCATGTCCATGACTATCCCCCACCCCCTTCCTCCCTCTACTGGCTGACTCTTCACTTCTGAACGTCTGCCTGGCATTTTACTCCCCAAGGGCACCAAGGGCAGGGTCTTACTTTGCCCACTGGTAGTGTTTCAGCCAACTTCCTTAGGCCTGATGGCCCCACTTTCTCAACATGCTCTTTTCAGTTTTGTAGGTTGGCCTCTGGGGCTCACTGCTCTCCTGCTGCCCATTTGACTGCCTGCTGCCTACCTGTCTTCAGTTTCTCTTTTGATGGTTTTCTTAAAGCGCTTTTTTGTTTGTTTTGCATTTTATTTATTTTGTTTGCCTGGATGTTTTGCCTCCACGTAGGTTTGTGTACATGTAGTACCTGCAGTGGCCAGAAGAGGGCACCAGATGCCCTGGAACTGGAGTTAGAGACTGTTGTGAGCTGCCATAGGAAGGGCTAGGAACTGAACCTGGATCTTCTAAAGAGGAGCCTGTGCTCCTAACTGTTGAGCCCAGACCTATTTTGTATTTCTGTCATGAGCGTGGGTGTGTGTGTGTGTGTGTGTGTGTGTGTGTGTGTGTGTGTGTGTGTTTGAATGAGAATGGCCCTCATAGGCTCATGTATTTGAATGGTAGGTCCCTAGATGGTAGAACTATTTTGGGAAGTATTAGGAGGTGAGATGTTGGAGAAGGTATGCCACTGGGAGTAGGTTCCACCAGGTTCAGTCTTGCTCTCTGCCACCTGGTTGGTGTATCAACATGAAAGCTTTCAGCTACTGCCCAGCACTGTGCTGGCCTGCCTGCTGCCATGGTCCCCACAATGATGGTCATGGACTCACCCTCTGAAACAGGAAGCCCCCCAGTTCATGGTATCTGAAATCATTCTCACCGACTCGACTCTCCCACCTTATTCCCTGAGGCAGGATCTCTCCATCAAACCCAGAGCTTGAAGATATAGGTAAACTTGGTGGCTAGCTTTCTCTGAGGATCCCCGGGTCTTAGCTGTTGTTCTGTTGCTGTGATGAAACACCATGATCGAGGCAACTTAGAAAAGGAAGCTTTCGATTGGGGCCTTGCTTACAGTTTCAGAGAATTAGGCCACAGTCATCATGGTGGGAAGCATTGTGGCAGGCGGGCAGGCATGGTGCTGGAGTGGTAGATGAGAGCTCACTTCGATCCACAGCTGGAGAGGGAGAGAGAGAAAGGAAACCTCACACCAATTCCAGCAAGGCCACGCCTACTCCAACAAGGCCACTCCTTCTACTCCTTCTCAAACAGTTTCACTGGGACCAAACATCCAAACTTGTGAGCCTATCAATGTCATTCTTAGTCAAAACACATGCTCTGTCCTTACCTCCTCAGACTAGAGTTAGAGGGTCTGTCCTGCACTGAAGAATTCTGGGAATCCAAACTGCTATCTTTACACTTTGCATGGCAAGTGCTTTAACCACTGAGCCGTTCCCTCAGCCCCTCCTGTCTCTTCCTTTGGAGGCTGGTAGATAGTCTCTGGCATGCTTAGTCATCAGTTTTCTCCCTCTGTTTGTATTGGTGACACTCAGATAAAGACCAGAGTCTGTTTCCTTTTCCTGAGAATCATGAGCAAGTCTTTCTGACATTGCCCAAGAGAGCATGGCAAACATTGCTGGTGATCCCAAGGTAAGGCCTCATGACACTTTGTGGTATCTGACAGCGTGTCTCACAGTACTTGCTCTGGAGAAGCCAGTTACCACGTAAGTAAGAAACCTGAGGAAGCCCACACTTGCATGTTTAGGAACTGTGTGGAGAGGAAGGTGCTTCCTGGCCAGCTTCCAGTTACTGTACCCATGTGAAAGAAGAAACCACAAGACAGGGTTGTGAAGAAGCTGTCGTGGATGTTGTCTTAGTTAACATGCTGTGAAGAGAAACCACGACCAAGGCAACTCTTATAAAGGAAATCCTTCACTTGGGGGGTTGTTTACAGTTTTCGTAAGTTTAGTCTATTATCACCTTGGCAGGGAGCAAGGTGGCAGGCAGAAGTAGCTAAGAGACACATTCTGATCAGAGGCAGAGACAGTGGCCATAACATGGACCTTTGAAACCTAAAGTTCACTCCCAGTGACACACTTCCTCCAACAAGGCTGTCCATATCTTCTAGTCTTTTTAAATAGTGCCTCTCCCTGGCGATTAAACATTCAAATAGATGAGCCTGGGGGGGTGGGCATTCTTATTCA